CCCTGCCCCTAGCAGGACCCAGAGAGCGGCTCCCCTCCCGGCAGGAGCATGGGTAAGTCGCCTTCCTTCAGCCCCCCCAAAGTTATGCCCTATGCGCCCTGTGCTGCAGCACCCGGGAGGCGGGAGGGCCTGGGCCCCGTGATGCCCAAGCAAGTCCGCGGCTCCTCTTCCCATCCCCCTTCCCCGCTCCCTGGCTTCCGTGCGGCTCCCTGTTTTGCATCCTCTCCCCCGTCGCACTGCTCCTGTTTCTCCCAAGGCCGGCCCCTTCCTCCCCCTCCCTCTGTGGCCCCTATGCGCCCTGTGCTGCAGCACCCGGGAGGCGGGAGGGCCTGGGCCCCGTGATGCCCAAGCAAGTCCGCGGCTCCTCTTCCCATCCCCCTTCCCCGCTCCCTGGCTTCCGTGCGGCTCCCTGTTTTGCATCCTCTCCCCCGTCGCACTGCTCCTGTTTCTCCCAAGGCCGGCCCCTTCCTCCCCCTCCCTCTGTGGCGGGCCGGGGGGGGGGGGGGGGGGGGGGGTGGAGGAAGACGACTTCATGCAACTTCCTCAGCCGCTCTGGTGTTTCCCCTGGCGGCCGAGGAGGCTCAGGGTGCAGTTTGCTTTGGCAAGGGCTGTGCATGCTCGGCAGGGAATGCGGGGACTGGGATGGGGAGCCATCTCCACCCAGCCTGGGGGTGAACCAGGCGAGTGAAAACACACCAGTCCCTGCAGGAGGCAGCGACTTGCTCCATGCTGGACTAGCGGGGGGTTTACAGGGTGTGTTTTTCCTGGGCTGAGCTCCGTCTTTTGATCACTTCAGGGATAGAGAAAGGGGTGAGGTAGCAGGAAGCTGAAAATAGTCAGGGCACCTTATTTCTGAACTTAAATCAGCGGGTTTCCTTCTGTTCTGAAATGACAGTGCAAAGTTTCTGCAGGCTCGTGTGATACTGCCAGTTCAACCGTCCTGCTGGCCTTAGGTAGGCTGAATGTCAATTTTAATAAAGGCAATGCACTCAAATATAAGTTGCCTTACAGTTTATGGATACAGATTTCTTAGGTGGAAATCAAATTCTCTAAGTATCAAAAGGAGATTTGGAGCAAGTAGTCAAATAGTTCATTCAACAGACTGAGTTTCGCCTCTTCTGTTTGTGTCCTAGACAGCTGGATAATACATTACATAGACTACTTATGTTCCAGTCTTACCTCTGGTGTTCCTCTGCATGGAACCACAAAGATCTTCATTTTTACCCTGCCCCATGATTTTTAAATCACCACGTGTCTTGTGAAGAACTGCAGTCATGTTATCTGGCTGTTAATTCCAAAATCTTATTTGCTAATGGAGACCTCCAAAACAAACACACAATGAGCTAGAAAGGAGTGCTTTCTTATAGCCCAATGGTATGAGTGCTGAGGACACTATAATATACCTCATTGGGTTTCATCAGGAATTAAAGACAAAGCATCTCTCCCATAGAGGCAATGATAGTGCACTCTAATAGTTTAAATGCAGGCTAAGAAGTCAGCAATTCCTGAAGTCATAATCCTAGATCTGACACTTACTTCTGCTGCTGCCTTAGATGAGTAACTGGTTTCTTTTGAGCCCATATACATCTTTTTGCCATTTAGTAAATGAAGATTTCCATAGATAGTAACAAACTCTATATTTTAGTTTCCTTGTCTGTAAAACAAGGATATTGCTTACCGGCCTTTCAGGGCAGTTGTGAAGATTGTCACTTTTATAAAGTGTTTGGAGGAAGAAACCCTCAGAAGCAGGTACTGAACTTTTTCTTGGACATTGTGATAGGGTTCTAGAAGTCTCCCATTTAGTTGAGATGAAAGGACAACTCCTTGACAACTAACTAGGAGATATTTAAGGACACTGGTCATTCCTACTTTTGTGATCAATGTCATAATCAAATTGCTAGTACAGAATGAATGCTGCATTGTACTCTACAAAAGGTTCCATTCCAGTGGTGGGTGAGTTTGTAAATTGCTCATGAAATCTTTCTAGCCAAAATTATTACATTAGCAGAGATAAGATGACTAGGAGGGTTTCCATTCAGTGTCTGTCAAGGATGCTCCTTAATTGTCCAATGCTTGTCTGTATTTCCGCAGTGTTGATTTCCCGGTAAATCAATCTCCCCGGGTTCAATTTAGGGGCTCTAGTACATAAATCAATCACTGATGGCGCCCCCATCGACTCTGGTACTCTACGGAATCTTAAGGAGTAAGGGGCGTTGACGAGAGACAATCTCCCACAGTGGAGATGCCATGGAAACTGGACCTAAGGTATGTCGACTCCAGCTACCCTATCATATAGCTGGAGTTGTGTATCTTAGGTCAACTTTTTTCTTTAGTGTAGACCTGACCTGTCCAGAGAGATTACTGTTGACTAATACAAGAAATGCCCTGCTCTTATTTTTCCCCATCCCTGCACGCATCTGGACCGTATTCTTCTGCCATTTAGGCCAGTGGCCAACTTATAACCTCCTCTGTAGCAGCTCTTGTTGTTCTGAAGAGCCAGTGACCACAAACAGAATCTTCCCACAGCCAGCTAGAGGTTTTCTGTTAATTTTTTTTAATAGCAAACATGACAACTTTGAATGTTTAGAGTCTCTTGATTTTGTGAGCTTAATCATTGTAGTTGCTGTCCCTGCTCAGCTCCAGCATGCTCTCCTACTTTTATTTGTGCAATGCATAACTATTGGAAAGCCTCAGAAAGTAAGTATTGAGGATGAATTTTTGCAACACTAAAAATATCTTCTTCAAGCTGCTATTAACTTGGTAAATCATACTTAAAAATCAAGTATTTGCGGCAAAGAGAACTCAGAGTGTTTCATGATTTAACATACTGAATATTCTACACTTAATAAGCAGGTCAGAATCGGATTAGTAGATTTATCCACTAATGATGTAAAATGGAAGCCTTGGAAAACATTCATATTCCAATCAAAAAATTTGTGCCATTAAAGAGATTCAAATGAACACGTGAGGCTGTAGGAGCTCTGCTGTTAAAATGCCTTTCTTGTCACTGAGGCACCAACAAATTATTTCTCTGTAATCATTCTTCTGGCAATGATTTGCTTCTGTAGGATTGAACTTTTTCCTATCATACTTGCCCTTTGCAAATTGTGCTTTTGTCCTTTGAATTTATATTTAAAAGTATTAATTCAAGCATTACTTTAAAAATGGTTGATTTTTAGTCTTAAACATTCCTTTTGCATGTTGCTAGATTTTTTTTAACTGTTCTTGGAAATACAGCATTTTGAGCACTTCGGATGACACTCACGGCTGTTGTTTTCTGTACCTTTTCTAATGAAGATTACTTGTGCATTTTTACAATAGTACCTCTTGGTTGGTATTTTGTATCCAGCTGCTTAAAGATTAATCTCTTTATTTTACTTCCTGCAGCATAACTTTATGTTTTATCAATCTTGCAATGATACTGTGTCCTAAAAGACTTCACTATAAAATTATATGACATTTTGGATGATGGATTCAATTCATTCTTATTATGTATATTAATTTCTACCTGCAGATTAAACTTTATGGATTTAAGAGGGAGTCTGCATCTAAGTTTCTTTATGTCTTTCTACAGCACTCAAAACAATAGCTTCTGTGTGCCTCTTAAAAACGCCCACCTAAAACATCAATTCTGTCTAGATGGCTGTCTTATTTAAAGTATAGCCCTTTAATCTGTTCTCCTTTTGTTACTGACTCAAATCCAATCCAAAGAGAAACCTGAGTGAATAGAGATTTACATTGCCCATTTGAGGGCCCAGTTCTTTCCTACAGAGTCTGTACTCACCATTCAGTCTATGTGTTTCCTTGCAAAGTGTACAAAATGCTAAATATGCTCAGGGAGTGTCAGGATTTGTGTCAGCCGGGTGTTGATGGTGTTGAGCTATCACGTACAAACTCTGGATTGTAGATGGCACACTTTGGCAAAGATATAGTCCCCGTTTTCAGAAGATTGCTTTTGTGCATGCTTCCTTCTGTTCACCTTTTAAAAGGAGCAGAA